GACTTAAATGTATAATGCCTAGGCTATGATACTTAAATTTAGTACGTACTCATTAAATGTTAAGGTTTTTTTGTTTGTTTGTTTTTTGATTTTTTGTTTTTTTGGCACTGGGGATTGAACTCGGGACCTTATGCTTTCGAGGCAGGCAGCAGAACCACTGAGCTAAATCCCCAAGTTATTCGTTTTTTTTGTTTTTTTGAGACAGGGTCTCACTATGTAGTTGAGACTGACCTGGAACTCACTATGTAGCCCAGGCTGGTCTCGAACTCACAGTGATCCTCCTGCCTCAGCCTCCCGAGTGCTGGGATTACAGGCGTGCGCTACCACACCCGGCTAAGTTATTCGTTTTTGATTATACTTTAAAATGTGAATCTAGTGGTTCTACCACCTGCCTTGCAACCATAAGGACCCGAGTTCAATCCCCTGTACCAAAAAAAAAAAGAATCTATTACTAATGCAGGAATTTTGTGAGAATTTTGTTATAGGGGAGCAAAATTTATGCTTTCATTTTTAAAGTATTAAGTAATCTCAAAGAATAATACAAGTACACATATGTGAAATTTCTAAGATGAGGAGGAGGTCCATGCGTATGTTATGTAAAAGCATCCTTGGTGTTATGAATGGATAGTTTTCTTCATTCAAGATAGTATTAGTCAACCTTCTATTATGAACACCTGAGATAATCACCTTACAAAAAGGAAAGGTTTCATTTTGTCTCAGTTTGGAGGTCCCATGGGTGACTCTGGCCTGTGGCAGCTCATGGTGGGGTGCATGGTGGAATGACCATTCACCTCAGGTGCTGGGACACAGGAGGAGGAGGAGGAATCAGAAGACCTCTCTTCAGACTCCATGTCTTCAAGGATGCACCACCCCTGGATAGCACCACTGGGGAGTGCGCCTCTGACACGGAGACCTTCGTGAGCCATGGCAGATCCAAACAGCTCACCAGGGTATTATGAGCAGCTCACATTCATGGAAGTATTTTTGGCCCAATCTTAGAGAAATGACGTCCTCAGCAGTTGTGGCTTGAGCTTACAACAGTATGACTTGTTCTTCAGAAAAATAGTTGTCCTCAGGTTTTTGTCTTTTATGTTTTAATTTTTATCTTCAGAAGGCCGTTGATCTGACTAGCAGCATGCAGGCTGTGTATTATGTTAGCACCCTGTCTTCTGGGACACACCTAGCCCATTTGTTAGCCTTCCTGGACTCTCCTGGCAGCTGTCTGTTTCTGTGTTCCCTTAGTACTAAGGCCTAGCCCCATCTCCATATTGCCATAAGTGTTTGGGTAAGAATCACTAAGTTGGGGATGTTATGTTTTTCTTCAGTTTATTCAGGGAAGGCTCTAATAATAATAAATAAGACAAGAACCAAACTGGTATATTTTATAAATTTTGCTTCTCTATGTTTAGCATCTTTTTCCATTTGGAAAATGAAAATTTTTTCACTTGTTGCTGTTTAGGAATAAGAGAATGTCTATGATAATCAGATGCATTTCAAAGATAATATTCTGCTTTCAAACTTAACATGTGTAGGGATTAGAGGAATCAAGAAACTCTTCAGTCCCCAGCATCTCAGGCTCTAGAGAGAAGTTTGTCTGAATAGAGCTTCAGAGTTCTTTTCTCTAGGCCCCCTTGGGAACCCAGGCACAAGGTGAGTGGGTTATGGAAGACGAATAAAGCACCCCAGTAAAATCTCTCCAGTGAGGGGCACATCGAGTGTTGCTGTAGCCTTACCTCCCAAGATGCCTGGTTCTTCCTCTAAGAGATAGCCCATAGTTTTGTATAGTAATACCATGACCATAATATGAGCTGTAAGCATCTGCCCACAATATTTGTGAAATCTGTGTGACTTATGAAATGGAACTTCTACATTTAATTATTTTAATTAATTGATTAATTGTAGTTCAGCTCATCCATAGTTTTAGATTCATATGTGCCATGGATTATATGTCTTTTTCTTGGGCAGTATATAACATAGCATATTATGTAGGCTAGGCATTTAATAATATCTGAAATAATATTTGAGGAAGAAATACTGTTTAATCTTGTTTTTTATTTCATGAAGGATTTGTAGAGGTTCTCTGATTTTGACTTCCTTAACCTCTTTATTTTCTAAATTTCAAAATAAGACTGTAAAAATAAAGTCATTCATCTGCTATCTCACAAAGCCAAGCATGGATCAATTACAGAATGTGGACAAAATAATACACTGTGTTCTTACCGCAGCATTTATTGCTGAGGTGTAGCCAATCATTTTTCAGTATTGTGACTGCACTTTATTAGTCTTCTATAACCCACTCAACTTGTGCCTTGGTTCCCAAGGGGGCCGAGAGCAAAGAACTCTGAAGCTCCGTCTACACTGTGTCACAATACTACTAGACTCGTCTTACTGGGCCAAAGGATTGTCGAACTTTTAGAAAAGAAAATATTTTTTTATCTTTCCTACCTACAATTCTTAGATGTAAGAAAATATGGATGCTTCTAAAATAGGTGAAGCATATTTTAAAACACACATATCCTAGCATTAAACATAAATTTGTTCATATGTTTTTAATTTTAAAATTAATTTTATCCTTTAATTTTCATAAGATATAACATTATTATAGACAGTTCTGAAACTCTCCTGATAAGTTGTGTTTTAATTTTAAATGAAGAGTTGCCCTGTTTTTATAAGAATCCTTTAACTCTTCTTGATGCCCCATCCCCTTTGGTGCCTAATTAGCGTTTGTTGGTGGAGCACAGAAAGCACACAAAGTTGCATCTTGAGTGATGCAAGATGGGGCCTGAGGTCAAGGCTTGCATGGATAACATTTTTAAAGGGTACATTCCTTCACCTTTACTGGAGATGACATGGAAGCCATATGGGGTTCTTAGAAATTACACATAAAAACTTATTTTTAAAATTATTACTAACTTGTTTTATTTTCTCTAAGCTTGATCTTACAAATTTGACTCATACTACTTCAGTGAGGACAAACCTAAAATAGAAGTAGAACAGTACAGTATTCTCTGACAAATATTTAATGTAGTTACATATGTAAGTAATCATTTCTTGTATTTGTTTAATAACTTGTAGGCTGTACTCAATTAAAACACCAAATCACTTAAAAGTACTATGATAGAAAAAAATTTTAGAGCTCTTATGGTACTTGCTGGGAAAATAAGAAAATTAAGGAACAAGAAAAGCTATTCAGATGCTTGTCATAATATTATTTATGATATCTGATTAAACTACATACAATTTAAACATTACATTTAAAAGTTCTGGCTTTCAGGGCTTTGAAGTTCCTTAAGAACATGAAGACAAGTAATTGCAGTAGACCACAATTCATAACAAACTTGATCCAGGTGAAAATTTTAGTGGTATCCTTGAATATCGACAGGTCTCGTACTTTTTATCTTAGTAGAGCTCTAGGGAGGACAAGTACAATTACTTTCACACTTGTAAAAATATTGAAAGTTACTTAAATTACTTTTGTTCTTACCTTCTTTGTATTCCTTGCTTATTGTAGGAATTTAATAAGTAATCAATTTTCTTTCCACTTAATAGGAAAGGAAATAATAAGCATTGCATTCAAGGAAATTTTGGCAGTACCCAATCTTTCATGCTCTTCCTCTCTGGGGTAATCTTATTTTCCTGAACTGTGAACTTACGTTGTGTCGTAAGGCCTTTGGAATGTTATCTCCCAGCAGAGGAAAAATCCTGACTACATGAGTCTTTGAAAGTCAGCAATTCAGGTTCAGTTTATCCAGTTTTATTATGCTCTTACTACCTCTGTCGCTGTCTTGTTGGTGGTCCTAGAACTATGTATGATTTTAAGCTTTTATGCAAGCTTGTGACTGTATTCATTAATTCACACTATGTGCTTACCATAGGGCACACATGGGCCTTATGTTATATCATTTAATCTTCCTAGAAGTCCTAGTATATTGAGGAGGAAACGGTGTTTCTGGCAGTTTAAAAAGCTTGCTCAAGGGTTCCCATAGCTGGTTCTCAGAGAACAGGCATCTTTCTCAGATACATACTGCCCTAAGCCTGCCATTTTGACCATGGGCTTAGCCAACCTTCCCTTTTTATAGGAATGGAAAGATGGAATAAAAATAACTGCATCAATGTTATAATTGCCTTTGTGCAAAACCAGTATTTTACCCAATTGCTTTCCTGGTCTTTGAGTACCTTTCTTATGCTTGCTGTTAGTTTGATAAATGGAAGGATGACCAGAGCTTTATGTTTTGCAAGAAATACATATATTTTTAATAGGAGGAAAAAAAGGAGTTAGATTGGATTGTTTTATTTTCAAAATTACTTATTTTTCTAAAAGATCAGGAAATAAAGATATTTTATGAACATATATTCATTTGACCAGTGTTATTTAATAATGAAGGTATATTATGAAGGTAATAATGAAGGCCTGTGAGTTGGACAACGGAATTATCCTAAAAAATTTAATGAACCACTTTATCCCTTAATGATTAAATTAGCATAGCATAGCAGGCATGGTGGTACAGGCCTGTGATCTCAGCACCCTGCGAGGCTGAGGCAAGAGGAGTCTAAGTTTGAGCACAACTTGGACAGTATAGTGCTTAGCAAGACCCTGTCTCAAAAAGGAAAGAAAGAAAGAAAATAAATTATTTACTGTGTCTGTTCTTCATGGTAAAAGTATTATACATTACTTCAGTCAAATCTAAGTAATGTTTACGGCAGTTATAAGGATGAAAATTTAAATGATTGATGTTTTGGCAAGTCTGGGTTGATTCCCAGAACCACGATAAAAACATTGTTTTAAAATTGTTTAGACTTTTAGAAAAGTTCTTATTGGCAATTTTGAAAGATGGCTGGTGTTATCCATTTGTTGCATAAAGAGCAGCCATGCTTCTCATGAAGTTAAAGAAATAGTGTCCTGAAGAACTTTTGGATAAAGAACTGCATGACTCTTGGACTCTTAAGTGCGATTCCCCCGTGTTCATGGCTTTCTCAGTGTCCCTGTGGTTGCTTTGCAGTGTGTTCTGGGATCTCTACTGTGCAGCTCCAGAGAGACGGGAGACCTGTGAGCATTCGAGCGAAGCCAAGGCCTTCCACGACTATGTAAGTGGCTCGTTCTCTAGGAGCTGCGGGCAGGCGCCTTTCTAACCACTGTTTTTGAAAAATGCACTAGATCATCTATTCCTTTGTTTTGGCACTTAATAAATCGGTGTTCTTCTTTCTTTATTTCCCTTTAATATGGACTCATAGTTTAAAAATGAAATGCCAAGGGGTGTTTAAGGCTTGTAGAACCTTAGGCTGGACAGCAGCCTAATGCCACGCTGGGAAGGGTGTTGCTTACCCTGTTTGACTTGTGAAATTCCAAATTTGTATAAGTGAAATAGTCATTCATTATTATCCAAAGAGATTTGTCACAAGATTTCTGGAAATATAATAAGCTCTTATTTTGCCTGTAAGTTTTTTAAATGAATAAATATTCTATTCTCTTTTTGTACCTTTTTGGGTATATAGCACGAGACTAAATACTGTATCTTCTCCACAGAATTCTGTTCCATAAATGAAACTTATCATGGATTAATAGAAATATCAGACAGTACAGCAGAAGAGTCTAGGAAAAAATAAAAATGAGAATTTGTATTTTCTTAAATTCTGAAGGAAGGGTGGGCTTTGGCATAAACATTTTTCAGAACTGCAAGTCTGATTTTAGATAGCTGATTATATCAGGAAGTAGAATGGGAAAAAAGAAACAAAGCAAGGACAATTTTCCTCAGGGAGAAACTTCATCTGAGAATGAGAAGATGGCACTGTGAAGGGTCTGGGGAACTCTGCGGGTTCCCTGTGTTTAGGGGCAGGCAGTCTATTCCTGGAGGTGGAAGTAGGGCTGAGCCTGAGGAAGTCCCCATGCTAAGGAGGAGGGATCCGCGCTGGTTGGGAGAGGAAGGGACACACTGTGCAAAAGTCCTCAGAAACCAGGACCAGGCTCAAAAGGGAGAAAGACCTTGTTCTTCTAACAAAAATAATTGGGTCCTACACCAGAGCGTAGAACTGGCCAGAATTAGAATTCCCAGAATAGCACAGGGAGGGATGGAGACTTAGGATGTGGAAATGGTGGGCCCTGGATAACTCACGAGAGGCGAAACAGTGACCTCATGGGATACTGGCCCTCCCTGTACCGATCAGGCACTCTTGGCACCGTGGAGGGTGTAAAGGATGCACTGCACATCAAGAGAAAGCAGCAAACGGTGGTCAGAAAAGGGCGGACAAGGACACCCTTGTTTATCTGTTTATCTGAACGACCTTGCTTTTATGTATATATTTATTTAATTTTACCTTTGGTCGATGTTACAAAGTAAAGCAGAGACACAACCAGGAAAGCAGAAGGCATCTGGGTTTCATGTGACCCCAGCTCTTCTGTCCCTCGGACCAGGATGGCCATGCAACTTTCAGCCGGTCAGCCACAGAGGATCGTTGGCGACTGGGTGGCCAGAGGTAGTGCCAGTGCTGTACTCAAGGAGATAGATGGTGGGCAGGCTGCAGGTTAAGACATGAAATTCCATCCCTGAGAAAGACGCACCCTGCTGCCCTCCGTAGGGGCCTGGGGGGCAGCGCTGGAGTAATCCCACGGCAACGCTTCAGGAGGTGAGCCAGGCCATGGTCTGCTGTCACGGTCTCTCCCATCCCTTCCAATCCCAGGGCTGCTCACAGCTAGGAGGTTGAGAAATCCGCTTGCTACTTTCAGTGCCTTTGAAAATGAACATTCACCAGAGGTGGGAATAAGACAGAGTGGATTTCAAAGGAAAAGCAACATTACTATGTGATTCGGTGTTTGGATTTTGTGAGACATTACAAATATTAGCACATTCCATACTAATTGCATGTTTAATTTTATCTTAAATTTTAGTATTCAGGGAATCAACTTATTCCTAAGTGACATCTTTATTAAAGCCAATGGCTTTTCAGGGCTAATGCATCTCTGACTTTTTAAAATTAGAGGTTGGTGGAAGAATTGAATTTGATTTCTGTAACTTTATATTGAAATTGGTTTTTTTTTCAAAATATATTTGTTTTGTGTTGCTCACTTTTATAATTCTCATGGGGATTTCCTGAATTCTTAATAGTGGACAATTTCTGAAAATGAGCATAACTTATGTCTAATGTGTTAATTATATAGGTTTTAAAGACTTGGTGAAGAAACTAGGAAAAAAAAAAAGGAACAAGCAGTAGATTTTGGTAAAATTCAATCCATTACAGAATCATTCCTATGGCAGATATTAATATGTTTATTGCCAAATTGTAGCATACTTTTTTTGGGGGTGGTAATGAGAATTGAACTCAGGGCCTTGCACTTGTGAGGCAGGCGGTGGCACCACTGAGCTAAATCTCTGGCTGTAACATACTTCTTAAAGAACAATTCTGAAAAATATTTTCTTCAGTAGTTGCATTCTTTGAAATAAGAGAAATATTCACTTGCACTTGCATGTATAAATTTTAACATGTTTAAAAGTTACTCTTCTTTCATATGTGGTTATGTCTTATTTATAGAATTGAGTGTATAAATGTACTATAACAAAGTGCATTTGAAAGATAAATTGGAGGCATAATGGGGTAAAAATGAGCAATATTTTAATTAAAAATAGTCTAAAATGTTAAAGTGATTTATCTTAGTATTTAGTTCATGTATGATTTTTATTTTTTGTCTGTGTAATTTATATAATTTTCAAATATCTGTAATTGATATTAATTTTATATTTAGGAAAGTTACTTTAAAACAGATTATTTTTCACCTTTTGGTTAGTTCTGGTTTTTCTCCTGAATTGGGAAATAAAAAGCTTTGCAAACTAAAATTTAAATTTGCAGGGCATGTAGGTTTTTCTACAACCATGCTATATGTATAGACATTTAGCATTTCTCATTATAGATGTTGTGTTGGCTTTTGCATGTGTACTTACTGAGAGACATCTCTAATCTGGAGAGATATCTCAACTCAGTTTTCAGCTTTCTGTATTTTACTTTTAGCCACATTATCAAAGTGTTACTGGCATAGGAAAAGCTGTAGAAATGGTGTGCACAGCTTGATGTGTTTAGAGATAGGAATACACCCATGAAACCACTCTCACATTCAATGCCATAAATTTGTCACCTGTAGGCCTTACCCTTTTCTGGTTTTTGTTTTGGTCTTTGAAATAAGAATACTTAAGATACAGCTTCCTAGCAAATTTTAAGTATACAATATGGCGTTGTAATCGTATGCCTACTTTGTACAGTGGGCATTCAGCACTTATTGCTGTCATGTGATTGAATGCCGTGCCCTTCAACCAACACTGGCCATTTCTCCCTCTCTTGGTCTCTGGCAACTCAACATTTTTGTTCCTGCTTCTATGAGCCTAGATTCCACATAAAACTTAGATTCCACATAAACTGGAATTAGGAAGTATTTGTTCTTCTGCAACTGGCTTCTTTTTTCCCCCATTAACTTTATTGGTACATTTTAGGTATACGATACAGTTACATTCATCATTGGGAACTTTTACCTTTACATGATGTATCTTGGTTCTTATTTTTTCCTCATTCCCCTGCCTCCCTTCACCTGCTCCACCTTTCCCTATTTACACAGACTTTGTTTCCATTTTTTCCTTTTCTCATATTTTTTCTTTTCCCTTCTTTCCTTTCCCCCACCCCTCCTATGTCCCCTACTCCCCTTAAACCTTTTTTCCCTATTCCACATAATCAATTATATATTTTGATCCTTATATACACTTTTAGTTTTTCATACCAGAGAAACTATTTGGTATTTACACGTGTATCCTGTGTATTTCACTTAAGAGTTTGGCCTCAATATGCATCCACTTAGCTATAAATGTCTCTAGTGTCTCATTCTTTATGGCTGAATAGTACTCCATTTTACGTATTTTTAAAAAATGCATCTTCTTTATCCAGTCTCCAGTTGATGGGCAATTGGGCTGTTTCCAAGTTTCAGCTATTACAAACTGTGTTGCTATAAACATGGGTGTGGTATGATTCTTTTAATTCTTTGAAGAAGATACCCAGCAGAGGAATAGCTGGCTTAAGTGGGACCTCTAATCCTAGTTTTTTCAGGTATCTTCATATTGATTTCCACTGTCTACACTCCCACCAACAGTGAAGAAAGGTTGCTGTCTCCCAACAACCTCGCCAGCATTTGTTATTCTTCATAGCAGCCATTCTTTCTAGGGTGAGGTGGAATCTCAGTGCTGTTTTCATCTGCATCTCTCAGATGACCAGTGATACTGAACATTTTTTTCTTACATTTATTTGCTGCTTTTTCTTCTTTGTCTGAGAAATGTTTATCATTTTAGTTGCCCATATTTGAATTGGGTCTTTATAGTTCTTTTAACAGTGTCCTCAGTTTACCTTTGTTGTCAAGAGTGGCAGAATTTGCTTCCTTTTTAAATCTGAGTTTCATTCTATCACATTTTCTTTATCCATTTTTCCACTGTTGGATATTTAGGTTGATTCTATATCTTGGATATGGTGAATAATATTGTAATGAGTATGGGAGTGTAGATATTTGTTGGCAATTCAGTTGCTTTGGATTGATACCTAGCTGAGGGATTGCTGAACCGAATAGTAAGTCAATTTTTAATCTTTTGAGGAACTTCTATACTGTTTCCTAAACTTACTTCTAAACTGGTGGTACCAGTTTACATTCACACTGACCAAGTACAAGTACAAGAGTTTCTTCTTCTCTAAATCTTTGCCAAATTTGTCTTCCATTCTATAATTTTAATAACTGTTTCTATGGTTACTATTCCAGATATAGTTTTGGCTTTTGACTTTTAAATTTTGGAATTTTTCTCCCTGATCAATGTCTGCTAGAGCATGGATTTTTTTGTCACTTTATTATTTTACTTGCCAAACGATTATAGATGCAGTGTTAATATATTTTCCTCAAAAGAAATCACCCTTAGGGCATTTATTGTAAGAGAAGAGGACACATTTAAGATAAATGAAACCTTAATTTTCTTGTATTTATATTTTCAAGTATAGGAAGTTAAATATTTAGCCTTTGCATGAAATCTAAATGTACAATAAAGGTACATTCAGAAATAACAATGAGTGATGCG